CTAAAGCTGCCAAGAGGCCAAGGTGGGACAGGGTAGGGTCCTCTCTCAGTAGGTCTTGGAGGCATTTTGGGTTCCTACTTCCTGGGACCCAACTCCTTCCACACTGGGCTCACCCTGTCTTGGGAGAGGGTGGGGGAGTACTAGTCCTGGTTGTCACGAAGTCCTCTATTCCCTGACCCCAAGAAGGGGTGGGGACTTGCCCTGCCTCTTCCCTCCTCTGCCCACCTCTCCCTCCCTCCCCTTTTCTTTCCTGGCCATCCTCCCGTGACACCTTTTCCTCTCTCTTTCCTAGGCCTCTCCTCCAAAGGTCACAGTGCCGTACTCTTAACTGAGGGCAGCCCTGCCCGGGTGTTGAGGCCGAGGTGGGGTGTATGTGGGGTATGCAATGGAGCCGGGGCCACATTGGTGACCATGTGTGGTTCTCAGCTCCTCAGTAGCTGGGCAAGGCCCCAAGCCCACCCCAAGGGGTCCTGTCTGGAGTTGGAGTGGGCTACAAGGGGTCTGGGAGGCAAGGCCTCATGCTTGGGAAAGGCCAAAGGGATGTGGGGGGTGGGTAATGGGACACAATGAGGTAGTCACACGAGGCAGAGGCATGTTGGGGGTGGGGGGAGCGGACACTGGAGCGCGCACACACACACACACATGCTCACACACACAACCAGCCAGACAATCGGGCCAGTGTGTCTGGGGCCTCGGAGCCCAGTGAATTAGGAGTTTGATAAGGGTTTTCTCTTTCTCTCGCTTGCTGGCCTTGGACAATCTCCCCCCAGTTTTCCTCGACGCCACCCCCGGCGCTGCCAACCCTCCTCCCCCCGCCTCCCTTCTCTTCCCTGTGCCCAGACTCTTGTTCGGGGCCTTGAAACAGTGAGCTGTCTTTGTTCGAAATACAGGTGAACGGCAATCATGTGATTAACACACACACACATAAAAAGCTTTTTAACAGCGCCCGCTCGGCCTCAGAACCGCCCGGAGAGGAGCCGCCCTGGATGGACAGAGGGACGAGGGACGAGCATCTACCCAGTCGTGTCCCGGCTGCCCCGCAGTCGCCTCCAACACCCGCTGCTGCCCGCCCGCTGCCTGCCTGCCTGGCATCTCTCTTTCCCGGTGGGTCCCCACTCATCCTTCCACCCCTCAGTTCCTCCTCTTTGAGGAAAGGGCCTCCCTGCTCTCTGCCGTGTCTGTGACTGGCCTGAGACCCCCCTGGGGCAGGAGGGGTGGTTGTGGAGGGAAAGAGCCCAGAGTTAGGAGGTGGAATGTGGGGTCCCACAGCTGCCCCCTCTCTAACTCCCTGCTTCCTCCTTTGCCCTCCTTGGCCCAGCTGGGCCAGGATGGGGGTGGGGGTAGCAGTGGGCACGCTCTGTCTTCAGGAAGCCACGCTAGACAGAAGGGGCCACTCCCTCTCTGTCTCCCTTGTCCCCGCACAGACACTGCCTTCCTCTCAGGGCTGTGCTGGGCTTTCTGCTGAGCAGTGTTGGGTGAGGCAGGTGGGCCTGCAGGGGGGTGGGAAGGGCTGTCAGATGACCAGTGCTGTGTGTGTGGTTGGGGCCCCTGCTGCGAACACATCCCTGCCCACCATGCTGGCAACTGGGATCCCCTCCATCCCATCCCAGACCCTGGGAACCCAGTGTTCTCCAGCAGGGGGGGGTGAAGGACCCACACTCATTCCTGAAGAGCAGGGAGCTTGGAGAGGGGAGGGATGCTGGCTGAAGACACCTGGGCCTCTGCCCCAGCAGGACAACAGGAGGGCCAGTGTCACCTTCTGCTCCTTTCCCTGCTGGGGGTGGCAGGGGTCCCTTTACCCCTCATTCTTGACCCTTCCCCAGGGATGCCTTGACCCCCTTACCCCACCCCCCATCACCTCTCTGTCCTGAAGTGAGGGTTTGTCACCGTCCATGGCAAGGTGTGGTGCCTGGTGGGCTCTGTAACCTGCCCTCTCTCTGGGTGTTTATTCCGCAGCAGAGAGGGGCCTGTGGTCTAAGCGTAATGGTGGAAATCCAGGCTTCCTTCCATGGCCCAAGGAGGCCTTTCTAGAGCAACAGAGTTTTCCTGGGACTTGGCCTGGTTTTTGTTAAGGCAGGTCCTAGATTTACTCAGAAGATGGGCCCCGGAGAGGAGGAGAGGAAAGAAATATCTGTCAGTCAAACATGAAACCCACTGATGACACTGCCTGGCAGAGCTGCCTCTGGTCAGCAGTTACCCTTCACCCCCCAGCTCCCAAGTCCTCTTCCTGAGGGAACCGGCCCTGCTTTATGGAAGGCTCCACCTGTGTTCCGCACCCTGGGTCCATGGTCCCTCACCTGTCACATGGGGCAATGGTCACCCTCCCTCTCTGCCTGCCCTGCAGGATACACTGAGATGAAGGTCAGGAAATCTACTGGCTGCAGAGCCAGGGGCCATGCAGGAGTGAGGGACGGTCTGGTCAAGTTGAGGCTCTGCCCCCGCCTCAGTTTCCCCACACAGGCATGAGACTGTCTTCCTGACTCTCAGAGGACAGGGCTGAGATGGGATGAAGGAACACAGGGAAAGCATTTAGCACCTCTGAGTGCTGTGTGGATGCGACCTGGAGGGTCCTGGCAATCCACTCTTTAATTGTATCTGGCCTGTGCATCCTCCTACCTCCAGTTGCCCTGTGGGGGCCTTTCACAGGGCCTGGCTTGTGGATGTGGGGTTTGGCGTAGGGCAGTGTTTCTCACATGGGAAGTGCACTGGGATTCTTCAGGTTGGGGTGGGGCCTGCGGTTCTGCATTTCTAATCAGTTGCCTAGGACTGGCTCTAATTCTTGTTGAATTTAGAATCACTTGTGGAATTAAGAAAAACATACTGGGCCAGGCATGGTGACTCATTCCTGTAATCCCAGCACTTTGGGAGGCCGAGGCGGGCAGATGACCTGAGGTCAGGAGTTCGAGACCAGCCTGGCCAACATGGTGAAACCCCATGTCTACTAAAAATACAAAAATTAACTGGGCGTGGTGGCATGCACCTGTAATCCCAGCTACATGGGAGCCTGAGGCAGGAGAATCACTTGAACTCAAGAGGTGGAGGTTGCAGTGAGCCGAGATGGCGCCACTGCACTGCAGCTTGGGTGACAAGTAAGACTCTGTCTCAAACAAACAAACAACAACAACAAAAACATACTGGAGCCCAGATCCCACCCCAGACAGGTTGATTCTGAATTTCTGAGGCTGAGGTGCAGGCTTGAAGTTCCCGGGGAAATCTTCACCGAGTCTCTGGATGCTGAACCAAAATCACCAGGGATGGAGGAGCGGGCTTGGGTACTGGACCCACCAGCCAGGCAGGTTATACTGGGGTATCCAGAGAGCTTCAGGGTGTGGCAGGGGAGGAACTATGCACTGGGAAGGTGGAGGGCCGATGGGCACAGGTTAGTGGTCGAGGGCAGCGTAGTGACAGACAGAAGCCGCCCTGTGGGTCTTCAGCCGAGTCTGGGTGCCCTGGGGTGGCTGTGGGAGTTCCCCTGAGCAATTTCTAGGCCACCTCCACCTTTGGATAAGGCTGTGTCATCCTCAGTCTGGGATGCAGCGGAAAGTGACTCGAAGTCAAGAAATCCTGCCACTAATACCCAAGGGGCCTTAGGCAAATCATCCTATTAACCTCTCTGGACTAGGCTTTTGCATATGTACAATGCTGATAATCTTATGCACCTGTGATATCCCCAAGTCATGAGAGAATTGAATAAGAATACACACACACACACACACACACACACACACACCCCGCTACCTAGCATAGTGACTGTGACTGCTCAATAAATGTGAGTCAGAGGAAATCATTTAGCTATTAGGCCAGCACTGGGAGGTGTGGAGCATGCTCACCTCAGGTCAAGTGCACAAGTATTTACCGAGCAGCCACCGCGGCCTCACCGTCAGGAGTTTATAATTTGCCTTTTAAATCCTAATGTCAGACCAGGTGGCACTCCTGCTTGGGATGACAAGCTCCTCTGTCATGGGTGGGCCTCCTGTGCCATGCCCTTTAACAGCGAAGGCGACGCTCTAGGGCCTCCCCAGGTGCTGGCTCAGCTCTGAGGGCTCCTGTCATCGGACTTCATCCTCCCAACAACCCTATGAGTAGATGCTATTATTCTCATTTTAGGAAGGAAACTGAGGCACAAATTGATTAAGCGACGGGCCTGAGCTTGCCCAGCAAATGATGGTAGGATGTGGACTGGGACCTGTGGTTGGTCCCAGCCCAACCTCTGATCACTCTGCTTTACTGCCCCTAGGCTGCAAGTGCAGCTGTAGGTATTCCTGCTCCTACCTCCTTTCCTTGCCTGGGCCTTTGGGCCTGCTCTGCCTTCCCCTGGAGCACTGTTCTCCCGCTGCCTCCTGGCGATCTAGGCACTGCTGCAGCCCCACTGAGAGGTCCACTTCTGGGACACACCTTGGGCACCTTGGTTGGAATTCTTTTCTCTATGACTTTCCCTCAGAGGAGTAGACACCTTCAGATGTGCTTTGCCTCCGTACTGCATGGCCTAGAGGACGGGCCAGTCTCCACTTCCTATTGGGAGCCCCTGAGGCCATGCTCAGCCTCGGCTCACCTTCCCTGAGCTGAGTTGCTGTCAGAGTTCCAAGGAGGAAAAGATCAGGGAGGCTGGAGTGGGCAGGAGTGGCTTCCTGGAGGCAAAGGGCCTGAACTCTGGGGGAGGAGGATGGCATTCCATGGCTTGTCCCAACAGGGGCTCTCGCCCCTCCCTGTTTCTGGTGCAAGCTGAGGGTCTCAGACCCAGGCCAGGAAGGCAGCTCTTGGGGTTGGAATCTTCCTTCACTCCCAACTCCACCCTTTCTGGAAACCAGGAAGCTGGAGCCAGTGCCCTGCACTGCCTCTGGCAGTCCGGCCTCTGCCCTCTTCTGAGAAGCCTTCAGAGAAGTTCACTGCCCGTTCCTGCCATCTGTACGCAGCTGCTGGAAAGCCCTTCCTGGCGTCTACCCTGAGCCTTTCCAGCTGCTGGGAATTTCTGTGAATGTATCCTCTGTGCAAGGTACTGGGCCAGGAGTTGGGGCTGGGAGGTGAGAGAGACCAGACCTTGGCTTTGAGGAGTTGAGGGTTTGATAGGAGAGACCTACATAGAAACCTGGAACCTGGCCCAGCCAAACAGGCAGCTGGAGCTGGGCCTCTGGACCCCAAGGGCTGGGGTCAAGACCCAATGGCTGTAGAGGCCCTGTGTTGCCTTGGCAACCTTCTTCCCTCTCTGGGCCTCAGTTTCCCCATCTATAAAACGAGTGGCAGGCTAGCTGATCTCTGAGAATGTTTCCATATTTGATAACCCACGAATTGTGTTTCAAAACAAGAGGCCCATGCCTGATCCAGTGTTTGCAAGGTGATGCCTCAGACCCTTGGTGTTCCTCAGGACACTGGTAGGCATCTCTTGAAAGACATTTGGGAAACACTGCTTTCTGCTTCCTCTTTAGAAATGCAAGGGCGGGAAGTGGTGGTTCACACCTGTAATCCCAGTACTTTGGGAGGCCAAGGTAGGAGGATTGCTTGAGCCCAGGAGCTCAAGACCAGCCTGGACAGCATGGTGAGACCCCAGTCTCCATTATTATTATTATCAACATTATTTGAGACTGAGACTGACTCTGTTGGCCAGGCTGGAGTGCAGTGTCATGATCTCGGCTCACTGCCACATCTACCTCCTGTGCTAAAGTGATTCTCCTCCCTTAGCCTCCCAAGTAGTTGGGACTACTGGCGCACACCACCACACCCAGCTAATTTTTTGTCTTTTTATTAGACGGGGTTTCACCATGTTGGCCAGGCTAGTCTTGAACTCCTGACCTCAAGTGATTTGCCTGCCTTGGCCTCCAAAAGTGCTGGGATTACAGATGTGAGCCACCGCGCCTGGCCACCATTATTTTTTTTTAATTTAAAAAGTGTTTAAGTAAAGAGATGCATTGCCTCTAAGCATGCTAAAAGTTCTGAATTCTGCAGTTAAAAACTGCTCTTTGTTTAAAATATTTAATATGAATCTTCAATTTATTATTCTATTATTTTTTACCACCTATTAACATCTTGTAGAGTTTTTGATGGAAACCAGTTTCACCCTGTTCTGGAGAGGACATAGTTGCCTAAGGTGGACGTGGAGGCACCATGGTCTCTGAGTGACATGTGCATGTTCCTTACTTTGGGGCCACCTTGCCTTGGTTTCTAACTCTGTTCAGACCTGTTTGACATGTACCAGGTGACTACTCAGTGTCAGGCCAGGGAAGCAGCTGAATAGAATATGGCACTGACCCCCAGTTCCCTGTGTTTCCATGCCTTCAGAGTTCTCATTGTCCTGAATTGTCCCTGCTGGGGTGTGGACTTGAGGGCTGGGTCTTTCCCGCCTCCTCCGTGGTGCCTGTTACATAGGAGTGATGTCAGCAGATGAAGGGCTTGCATGGAAGAGAATGTGTGCAGGCAGCATGCGGGGAAGGAATGAGCACACGCTCCTGAGTCAGACACTCCAGGTTTAAAAAACATTGTTAGAGATGGGGTCTCAAACTCTTGGGCTCAAGTGATCCTTCCTCCTCAGCCTCCTGAATAGCTGGGACTACAGGTGTGTGCCGCCATGCCTGGCTCTAGCCCCAGGTTTGAATCCTGACACCTCCATTTGTTAGCTGTGTGTCCTTGGCAAATGAATGAAGGTCTCTGAGTCTCAGCTTCCTTCCAGGTTGTGGTGAGGATTAAAGCAGATAATGTATGTAAACACTTAAGACAGGGTCTGGTGCATGACAGAACCCAGTAAATGGTGGCTATTGTTACCAGCAGCTTGGGGATCTGCCGCCAAGGTGGCTGTTGGTTGACCTTGGGTTTTAGAGTAGTCATTGCTTCTTTTTTTCTTTTCTTTTCTTTTTTTTTTTTTGAGACAGTCTGACTCTTTCACTGTGTTGCCTAGACTTGAGTGCAGTGATGTGATCTCAGCTTACTGCAACCTTTGCCTCCCAGGTTCAAGCAATTCTCCAGCCTCAGCCTCCCAAGTAGCTGGGATTACAAGTGCACCCCACCAACTTTGCTAATTTTTTTTTTTTTTTTTGAGACGGAGTCTCGCTCTGTCGCCCAGGTTGGAGTGCAGTGGCCGGATCTCAGCTCACGACAAGCTCCGCCTCCCGAGTTTTTAGGCCATTCTCCTGCCTCAGCCTCCCGAGTGGCTGGGACTA